TTTTCGATTTCGAAGAAACTTCAACAATTGACTGTTGGGTGCAAAGCGTATTTTGCAAGTCAACTTGTCGCCTATTCGTCGAGCAAGGTGAAATTTTAAGACCTATGCTTTGAGGTAATTTCTGTTGTATGGAATGCGCATTGGTGTGCTTTTCATTTTGGCGTTTACGGTTTGTGAATCGCCTTAGCAGTTATGAGTTATGTGCATTTAAGCATGAGGTTGCATTCATGATTCATGATTGTTCGTGTGCGTTTCATGTGTTCATGGCGTTTCACGAATGTGTGTGAAGTTCCAAGGGTACATGAGTGTCCATGGACCTTCGCGTCCTGTTCATGAGAGTTCGTGTGCTGTTCGTGTTCGTTCATGGGCGTTCATGAACGCTCATGTACGATCATGTCCGCTCATGACTGTTTATGTTCCGTTCATGTCTGTTCAGGCTTGTTTATGTTTTCTTCATGAATTTCTGTGTATCTTTCATGAGTGTTCATGGTGAGTTTTTGGTGTGCTGGGTGTGGGGCTCGAGATTTTGACCAGCCCTTTTTGACTAAGTCTTGCGCTGGTCAAGGCTCGAGGCCATAAGCCCGAGCCTTGTTGCGCAACCATGGGAGCAAGGGCCGAGGGGTGCCAGTCGAGGCACACGCGCGGCCTGAGGCCGCAATTCAGTTCGGAGCCACACGCACGAGTGTGGCAGTGAGGTGGCGCGAGGGGAAAGACGAGCGCGCGTGGGTACTGGTTGGATTTTGGGGGTGCCATGTGGGGCCAGCGAGATTTCGCTTGACCCACGAGTTGTTTGTACTGATCCTCCGAGGTGGAAAATTTGCCATGGTGTTTCGCGAGGTGCGCGATTTACTTTCGACGCTGGTGCGAATTGAGCGAGGTGGATTTCGATGACTTCGTGATTTCGTCGCGTAACTGAGCGAATCGCTCAGGAATTTTCATGAACTGTCACGTATGGTCATGAGCTGTCATGATCGCAAATGACCACGAGCGCTCATGGAATTCCATGAGCAAGTATGGGCTACACAACTATGTGTGGGCGAGTATGTGGCCTCTGATTTCGCGTGGAGACAATTGGCATTTCGGAGTATGGTGCTAGCTATTATTTCGGTGGGCTGGTTGTTTTCGCTTTTGGTGGGTTAGTAATAAGTAGTGCTTGTGTTAGTTTGTCACCAATTGTTGTGAATCTTTTTATGAATGAGTTTTGCTCTATCGACGTATTGACGCGAGGAGCTTTTCTGCGCATGCACCTATCGTTCGTCAACCCTGCGCAATCGAGCTTGGGGATGCTCTTAGTGCACACGACTGTTTTCACACTTGGGAAAATCCCTCGACAATCACGGACCCTTGGTTAGGGGCTGGCTTTGCCAGGCACCCGAGGACCCTTGGAGGTGACCCCGTGGGACTACCTAGTGTATTAAAGGTGTGCTTAAGAGTTTCTAGATCCCAATAGTGGACAACCAGTGGTATCAGAGCTGAAGATTGGACGTGTTGCCGTTACAACACCATGGCGCCCGGCGACAATGAAGGTTCTATTGCACGAGCAAATAGTGGAGTCTAAGATATGGGTGGTTCTGCGCCAAGGGGAGTGCGTGCCAGCCCGGTCTCACTATGGAAGGATATAAGAAGAAGCTCATGACGACAATGATGATGATGGCTACCGCAGATTTAAGGGAACTTGCTGGTACTGCAAGAAACCGGTTCACACTTGGGCGAAGTGCTGGAAGCGGCCTAAGGGGTGGACTCCCGGGAATGAGGACAATGATAAAGAGGAGAACCAGCACCGTAGCGTTGGTTATGTTGCAGAGGCCGAAAGGGAAGGGGGAGACGATTGGGAGCGGGCTCCGGAGCAGATTTTCCATGTGCAAGGGAACGAGGGGAGTGAGAAAGCAGCTGTCAAGGAGGGAGCAGTGCCTCACCCTCTTAACATGTGGATCCTTGACTCCGGAGCGGCTCATCACATGACCCCGAGGGCGGACCTGCTAGACAAGATCAGTGCAACGAGCATCATTGAAATGAATTCCGGATGTGGGCACAAGATGAAGGTGTTGGGAGTCGGCAAGGCAGCCTTCAAGGGAGCTGACGGAAAGCCGATTATCATTGAGGACGTACTTCTGGTGCCTGAGCTGAAGGGAAACTTGATTTCCCTGCAGAAGATGGGGCTTGCAGGTATTAGCGCGGAAACTGAGGGAGCTGAAGCTTTCAAGGGACGTCTCGGTGGACGGACGTTGTGGGACCTGCATGCGGACAAGGACCTGTGTGACGAGTTGTGGCGTGTACCAGTGGTGCCATGGAGTGAGGTGTCACCTGAACATGACAATGGGGTTTGCAGCTGCAAGGGAAAATGTGCTGCAGAGGCTGCTAAAACAATCAAGAAGCTGAAAGCTACCATAGAGATGTTGGTTCAGGAGCTGTATCAAGTAAATGATCAACTTGCAGCAGCTGAAAATAGAAATAATCCTGGTGCTGATGAGAAGACTGGTATTAAGGCCAAGGGGAGTGAAGGCAAGGGTGCTACTGTGGCTAAGGAGAAGAGAGTGCTGAAGAGTGTCACTCGTGAGCAGAGGAAATGTGAAATCAAGGTGCAGCTGAACGATGCACCTGCTAAAGAGAAGCCGTCGGTGCTGAAAGCGGCAAGCATTGCATCTGATGCAACTAAGGAGACTGAAGAACCTAAGGTGAAGCTAAGTGAGGAGGAAGCGGATACAACATTGGGTGGTAGCGGTATTACTTCAATGAAGCTGCAAGTAGCTGATGTCACGAAAACCGAAAGTGTGGGGGAGCATAAGTCAGCCTTCCCTAAATCTGGAATTGGGATCGGCAATGTAGCAGAGCCGTTCTATAGTGAGAAGTAGATTGAGGGAGTTGAATAGTCGTCAAGTTGAGGGGGGTTTTGTTGGGTGCAAAGTGTATTCTGCACATCAACCTGTCGCCTATTCGTCGAGCAAGGTGAAATTTAAAGACCTGTGTTTTGAGGTAATTTCTATTGTGTGGAATGCGCATTGGTGTGCTTTTCATTTTGGCATTTACAGTTTGTGAATCGCCTTAGCGGTTCATGAGTTGTGTGCATTTGAGTGTGAGGTTGCATTTCTGAATTTGCTTGTGTCATCTCATGTGTCATGTGCGGCGTGCCATGTCCCATGCTTTGTGAAATGCCATATGCCATGCCATGGGCTATGACGTCTTGTGCTTCAACATGCTAAGTATTGCAAGTGTCATGCTGATGTGCGACAGTACTTGATGACAGAGTCACACCAGACTTGCACTGCATTTGCCTATCAAGTGAGTGCTGTTGTGAATCATGTGCCTCTCCCTTCGTCTTTTCCCTCTCACACGTTCCTCCCTCCCCGCTCTCCACTCTCTTAGACACGTTTGTGCTGAAGAAGTGCGGCATCAGCAGCACGTGCTCAAGGACAGTGCTGGAGTGGCGTCTTGCGTTTGCAACGATGGTTTTTCTCTGCAGCCCGACGGTTTCACATGCACTGGTGCGTGCTGAATCCTGCGTGCACTGATGCGTGCTGCTGTATGCTGTCCAACAAGCAAGGTAGATTGCATGTCTTCATGACCTCTTTCCAGGATGCGCAGCGCTGTGTCGTGTAACACAACGTGTGCAAGGGTGTGTGTGCTGTATTTTTTGAATTAGTTATTTGCAGCACTTGCATGGTACGCATCAGCTTCCCAATCAGTCATTTACTCGTTTCACTGTTGCTCCCACTAGCTCCCTATTCACAATTTATCTCTCCCTCCTTCGTTCCCTCCTTCCCTCCCCCATCCACATGAACATCTCTGCTCACCCCTCCCTGCCTTGACCTCTTTCCCCCAAACCTCCCCATACTCCTTGTGTGCACGTCTCTACTCACACGCCTCTTTCTTACTCTCTGCTTCTTCACGTCCCTTCTACACCATCCTCGCCCATTTCATCGACTCCTCACTCCCCTCCCCCATTTCTCCCCCCACCCAGACAACTGTGTGATCCAGAGCTGTGGTGTGAACGGCCGGTGCATCAAGGACGAAACTACTAGAGCGGCGTCCTGTGTGTGTGACACTAGCTATGTGCTGCAGGCGGATGGCAAGACGTGCGTTGGTATGTGATGAAACTGCTGTGTGCTACTCTGTGTAATTCTGTGTGCTACTTTGTGTGGTGTTGTGACGGCTCCTAAATTCATGTCCCCTCCACCCCTCCTCTCCGCCCTTTTCTGCCTCTCCCCCCACCCACATGCCTGTGTGGTCAAGAACTGTGGTGTAAACGGCCAATACTTTCGTGGTAGCAACGGGGCAATCTGTGACTGTAACACTGGCTAGGTGCTGCAGCCGGATGGCAGGACGTGCATTGGTATGTGATGAAACTGCTGTGTGCTACTCAGACACCTGTGAGATTTAGAGCTTTGGCGTTCCATGCCATGTGTCGTGCCATATGCCATGCCTTGTGAGAAGCCGTATTGTGCTTCAACGTGCTAAGTATTCCAACTGCCATGCTGATGCGCGCCTGTACTTGGTGGCAGAGGCACACCAGTCCTGACTGCTTTTGCTCTGAAGTGAGTGCTGGTGTGAATCATGTGCTGTGAATCATCCCATTTTCATACTCTTTTTTTGCTTCTCTCCACGCCTCCTATCAGATACGTGCGTCGTCATGAATTGTGGCGGCGATGCTGATTGTCTGAAGGATGCTCAAGGCGCTGCATCCTGTGTTTGCAAAACGGGCTTCCAGATGGTGGACACGTTTGCATTGGTATGCATCATCTTTCCCAATAGATGTTTCCCATCTCTCCTTCCTCCCTCCATCCCTCCTCTCTCCTTTCTTCCCCCTTTCCCTCCGTATTTAATCTCAGTTTCACCTTGAAAATCGCTGCTTATCTCTTCCTCGCTTGGCCTCATTTCCTCACTCCTTTTGTGCACGTCTGTACTCACACTCCTCTTCATTACACTCTACTCGTTCACGTCCCTCCCTTCTACACCATCCTTGCCCATTTCCTCCACTCCTCCCCCATCGCCCCCCCTCCCCCATGCCCCCCCCCCATATCTTCTTTTTCGTCTTCTTCTTCGTCTTCTTCTTCTTCGGCTTCTTCTTCATCTTCTTCTTTGTCTTCTTCTTCTTCGTCTTCTTCGTCTTCTTCTTCATCTTCTTCGTCTTCTTCTTCTTCGTCTTCTTCTTAGTTAAATCACCCCTGCCCCTTGTTCACTTCGACCTCGGTTTGGTGTGGTACAGTATCATTGTTCTTCACCTGCCACCCTTGGTCCCACTATTTGTGTCTTGGTCCGCCCCGTTCTTTCACCCCAACTCCTTCACAGCTACGTGCAATCTGTGTCATCCTACATTTACGTCCTGCGCGTTCTTGCCGGGCACAAACACTCTGGCTTGTCATTGCAAACCCGGCATTGGGCAGTCCATAATTAGGCAGCTCAATTGTGTTGGTGAGTTTCACACGCTTTCGAAGTTTGCTTGTTGAAAAATCAATTCGCATTGACCCACAGTTTGCTTGCTTTGTCTCTCTCCCTCTCTCTCCCTCTCCCCCTCTCCCCGTCTCCCCCTCTCCCCCTCTCCCCCTCTCCCTCTCTACCCCTCTCCCCCTCTACCCCCCTGCCCCTCCCCCTCTATCCCTCTCTCCCTCTATCCCCCTCCCCCTCCCTCTCCCTCTCTCCTCCCTCTCCCTCTCTCCTCCCTCTCTTTCTCCCTCTCTCCTCCCTCTCTTTCTCCCTCTCTCCTCCCTCACTTTCTCCTCCCACTGACACCCGATTTTTTCTGTCCCTTTCAACCTTTCACCTTCCAACAGTGGTCTAGTGGCACACTTACATTGCATCCTCAATACTTTGCATGGTGAGTGCCAGCTTGGGGTTGATCCGGAGCTTGCTCTGACCCTTTAATAAATTGTCTGAGCATCAATTCGTCTCCTGATTCCAAGCGTAGTATGTTCCCCTTTTAACTCACCTCGTTTTGACTTCATTGTTTTTGGGTGATTTCATTATAACAGTTGTGTGAAACCTATTTCTGCGATGAAGGGGATAAGATTTAGCATGACAGTGAATCCGCGTTTCTCTCACCCTATCCACAGACTCTTTCACCATTGGTTTTCCACCCCTTCAGCTTGTCCCTTGGATCTTCATCCCCTTGTTTGTCTCTCCTCCCAACAGGCAAGGTGCCCTCAGAATAGCCATGAGGCACGTCCACTCCCGTGACAACCATTCTCATCTCCCCCATGACGGCACACCCTATCGCTCTCGTCACGGTCCTCGCTCCCATGACGGCACATCCACACCCTATTGCTCCCATAATGACCATTCTCATCGCTCCCATGATGGCACATCCTCATCACTCCTGTGACAGCACACCCCCGTCACTCCCACGATGGCATCCCTCCTATGACGGCCCACCCTCATCAGCCAGTCCCGTCACCCCTACAGCCACGCCCATCATCCCATCACCTACTCTTCCGGCTGTTTTTTCCTGCAAAATGGGGCACAGTGGACCAAGAGGCTCAAGGCTTGATTTGCGTGCATCAAGACCCTTGGGTCTTACCTTACAAGGAAGGAAGGTCTCCATGCACCGGGGTACAGGCCCCTAGATTCGTTTTGAGGTAGTCTGATGCCTCAGAGTACACCCCTCCTGGAACTTTGTTTGTCAGAGGTGCCTCAAAATTTTAGTCTGAAAATTCAAACAAGCACAATTTTTTTTGTCTGAACTGTCAGAGTTACTTCAAATTTTAAGATGTTCATGCAGTTTTGTAAAAGCAGTTATAATAGCATTGAAGCTGATTACAGCCTACCATACCAACGCATCAGGCAACGTGCTCGTGCTCGTGCATCGCCTCTGCTCATGTCGGCGGCGTTCCGGTGTTTTTGTCACGTGCAGTATGGTTGTTTCTGCTCTGCTAACCTCATTTCGTTTTGTCGTGTGTGTGATTACCGTTCTGTACCCATTTTCTCGCATGTGTGCCGATTTTGTCAGTATTGGATTTGCTTTTCAAGCGATTCGATCGGTCACCCGATCTGTATCAGGTGGGCCAAGTGCCACGCAGCTGAGCTGGCAGCAGGCAGAAACTGTTGATTGGCGTGGCATGTGAGGATCAGACAGTGCCACACGAAGCTTTCACTACGAATCAGGAACTTCGCAATTCACATCAGTGCGTGCTGCAGATGTTTTTACAGCGAATCAGCATCAAAGTCGCCTATTCTTTACAATACATTAGCGATAACTTACATGTGACGAGATTTTGTCTTCAGAAATCTCGTAATCACGCGACCATTTCCTAAGCGTAACCGGAAGATATTCTCGACGAACGAGTGTATTTGGATGTCCCAGCTGTCGAAGTGAGCGTTGCTCACGTCCTGGCACTCCACTGCCATCTCGGAAGTGGGCATATCGGAAGGAAACTTCCAGGAAACTTCGCTCCGATAAGCGCGCAGAGTGTACCCCCGATACAAGTCTGAGGCTCAGCCTACCCTAGTAAAATTAGGCTGAAATTTCAGACAACTCATAAGAAAAAACTCTGGAAATTCAGACAAGGTACATAAATAAATTCTTTGAGTTCAGACTAGGTACAAAAAAAAAAGTCTGAACGGACTCTGATTCAGACTCCAAAGTCTGATATCTAGGGCGCTGCCAGGGTACCAAACATCAGCTGCATTCGCGGGGGCACCGAGCTTTTTTCCATTTGTTTTCTGGTTGCTTGGCTGGTTATGGCATGTGTTGGTTGGTCTCTTGCTTGTTTTCTGTTGGTTATGATTGTAGTACAGTACATCTCAATAAGGGAATGTACCCCTCGGAACTCTCTTTTGCATGTAACTTTAGTACCTGAATGATTTGAACTCTCTTTTGATGAGTTTAAGATCGATAAATGCTAGCAGCACAGCAGTTTCTATGGTAAAATTTTGGAGAGCTGAACGGCTTGCTTTCCCATTTTGCCACATTCATTTGTATGCCAGTGCATCGTACAGACTCTCATCTTCACACATGAGCTTTGGATTCTAGCTCTTTCGTGTAAAACCCTTCATACGTGATTGAATCATCCACTATCTGATGGCCATCATGTATGCGAATACATGCAGTGCACCCTGAATTTCACCCTGAGGGCACGCACGTGCGCACGTTCGCACGTGCGCTTGTATCCGGGCCGGGGAAGCACGTGGATGCTTCCGAAATGAGGGTAACGTAGACACACAAAAAACTACCTGTATGAGCAGGTAATGGTTGCCGTTACTTGCTTGATGCTCATGCCAAGAGCCTAAGCTCACAAAAACAAAAGCAGAGGTCCTATAGCCCCACGATATCCTCATATCACATCAACCGCATCTCGGAAAGCCGTGAAAGCAATGCCCTCCGCACCCACTTCTGGTACATCTCTACTTGTGATGAGATCCAGCCCTTTTGTGAGACTTCCTACGGAATAGCTGAAAAGGGAACACAATTGTCAGAGCAATCAAAAGTGAGCAGAAATGGGCAAGCGAGGCCAAGGAGAGGTAGATGATGGGTCATGAGGTAGATGAGGGGTCATGAGGTAGATGAGGGGTCATGAGGTAGATGAGGGGTCATGAGGTAGATGAGGGGTCATGAGGTAGATTCGCAAAGGGGGGAGAGGGGGGGGGGGATGAAAGGACGCAAAGGGGAAAGGTCGAGGAGAGACTCACACTCTACGAGGGAATGGATGGGACTGACGGGGGGGGTATGGAAGAAAGTCAGGGGGGGATGAATATGCAAACAGGTGGGCTACCGAAGGAAGGCAAGGGGGGAATGGATTGCACACAAGGGGGGAGAGGAAGGCATTGAGGGGGGTTCGTGAAAAAAAGAATGGCTCGACTGGTTGCAATTTAAAGGGACGCACTAGGTAGGTTTGAGAGAACACAACAGCACCCACCAACACAGCAGCACCCACCAACATAGCAGCACTCACCAACACAGCAGCACCCACCAACATAGCAGCACCCACCAACACAGCAGCACCCAGCAACACAGCAGCACCCACCAACACAGCAGCACCCACCAACACAGCAGCACCCACCAACACAGCAGCACCCACCAACACAGCAGCACTCACCAACACAACTGCACTCACCAACAGAGCTGCACTCGCCAACAAAGCTGCACTCACCAGCACAGCAGAACGCACCACCACAGCAGCACTCACCAATACCATTGCAGCTGAAGGAGCGGTAAGGGTACCCGAGATACTTGCTGTTGCATGTGCGCATGCAGAGATGAGAGGAGAAAAGGGTGGGGTTGCATGGCACACAGGGGAGGGCTTTTAAGGGCAACTCAAATAGGAGCGGTATAGATACCCGAGATACTTGCTGTTGCATTGCATGTATGCATGCAGCAATGAGAGGCATTTTAGTGTGCGCGACAAACCAGAAGACTAGAGGGAGATGACATGCAAGGGAACAAGGGGTGGATTGGGGGAGCAAGATCTAGAGGAAAAAGAAGCTGAAGGTAAGAAGCAGCAAAAATTTCAGTATCGTGTCTCACGGAAGTGTGTGCAAGTGTGCGTGTCATGTACGTGTGTGTGTTACGCACGTATGTGCGTGTGGGTGCATGTGTGCGGGCATGTGTGCATGTGTGTGTTTGTGTGTGTGTGTGCATGTGTGTAGGTGTGTGTGCGCGTGTGCGTGTGTGTGTCTGTGTATGTATATGTGTGTGTGTATTTGTGTGTGTGTGTGTGTGTGTGTGCGTGTGTGTGTGTGTGCGTGTGTGTGTATGCGCGCGCGCCATTACGCACGCATGTAACCTCGCAAACTTGATGCAATTCCAGGCTCACGTGAAACCCAAGCCGGCCATGCTGGTTCCGTCCGAAGCGCTGGGAGACGATGTGTACGCTCCAGCGCACCCCTCCTGCTCGTACTGGTTCAAACTCACACACTCCCCCACCCCTCCAGGAGCCCCGTCGAGCCGCAAAGTCGACCAGACTTCAGAGGCAGCCGAGGCAGGGAGGGTGGTGCAGGCGTTGAATTCAAGGCGCATAGTGAAGGTGTTGGTCGTGATGGTGTAGCTTGGCTGGTCATAGAAGGTGATGCTGGTGGAGGAGACGGTGGGGGTGGCGCCTGCAGTGCAGCATGGCATGGCATGGCATGGGCCGCCGCCATGGTTTATGGCATGAGCAGAATGGCATGAGTCGATAGGGGAATCGAGGGATATGAAATGAGGCACGAATGGCATGGGGAAAGGATGCGGCAAGGGCATGCAGAGCCACCAGCATAGCATGGTAAGGGGTAGCAGAACGTGCAGGGGATGAGAAGGAAGAAGAGGTAAGGTGGGGGGCAATGGGGAAAAGGCGCGTCATAGAAGCTGGGGGAGATGGGGGAGATGAAAGGAGAGGGAGGTGGAGTGCATATGGAGTTGCTGGTAGAAAAAGGGACAGATGCGAGGGTGACGATAGCAAAAGCAGAGGACAGGGTTTGTTGCCAGTGGAAGGAAAAAACAACATAAGGGGGTCAAGAGGTGGGAGGAAGGGTTGGAAGGGAAAACAATTATGTGGGGTTGTGAGCAGCTTCGGTCTTACATACGCTGCAAGCAAACATTTTGCCATACCTAGAGTGCTAACAGCCTCGGGGCTTTCCGCTGATGCAGCCAATGCTGGTCATGGCATTGCCCCGAGGGCAGATGCAGTATGGAAGAACCCCCGAGGTAAAGAGGTGGGAGGGGAAAGAGTGAGATGTGGTGCAAGTAGCATTGGGCTTACCGCTGATGCAGCCAGTGCTGGTCATGCCATAGCCGGGAGGGCAGATGCAATATGGAATGAAGCCGAAAGCAACAGTGCACGTGGCTCCTGCAGGGCAGCTCCCACATGTGGCGGGGCCTGGGGGGATGGGGAAGTGGGAGGGGATGAGGAAGGAGAAAATCACTCATCACGACACAGCTTGATAAGGAACGACAAAGCAACCGTGCGGGTGGCCTGGGGAGGACAGCAGCATGGTTCAGCAGGGGACAACGCAGAACAGCATGATACAACTCAGTGCAGCACAGCACGGCACAGCTCGGCATGGCATGGCACTCCACGCCACGCCACGCCGCACACCTCAGTGCGGCACAGCACAGAAACGGAACAGCACAGCATGGCATGATGCCGTTTGCATGAGATGGAAACAATGGGTCACGGAGGGAGGCACACACGGGAGCACCGAGAGCAGCACAGAGAGCAGCACAGAGGTCCTATTATTAGACAGGCTGAACTCAGAAAGGTTATTAGTATGAGTGGTTTATTCAGGGGGTGACAGCACTAGCACGTACCAACACAAGCACCGGAGATGCTCTGATAGCCCGCCTTGCACACACAGGATGCACCGCCTGCAGCGTCCCTCACACAGTCAGTTGTGGGATCGCAGATCTTGGTCCCACACGCCTCTGCGGGAGGAGACCATGGGGGAGGGGAATGGTGCAAATAGAAGAACAGGGCAAGAGAATGAACGGTAGGAAAGAAGGGAGCAAGAGTCAGAGATGGTGAGGGCCTCCCAGCCAGGACCCCTCCGCTTTTCCACAACCAACCTCTCCTCTTTTCCACAACCAACCTATCCTCATTTTCACAGCCAACCTATCCTCATTTCCACAACAATGTACGCCTCCCTGGTTCCCTGGTTCCTTGGTTCCCTGGTTTACTCAGTTCTCTATCCTCATGCGGATTCTCACAGCAGAAGCAGGCATACTGGCACAGGTCCTGGCTTTGGGCTGCGGAAGAAAGCGAGCAGCTATGTAGACCTCCTTGGTCTGTGATTCAAATGCCAGTCAAATTGAATGTATCAATTTTTCATTGCACATTTGTCAGCCGGCACAGCGACTGGGACCACCTCACAACAGCAGCAAATACAAGCACACATACAAGCGCACATACCCGCACACGTCCTGGCGTCAGGCTGCAGAAGAAAGCCAGCATTGCAAACACAGAAGGCCACTCCTGCACTGTCCTGAACGCACGAGCCGTTCCCACCGCAGGTGCTGGGCGCGCATTTCTCTGTGAATGATGAGAGGTGAGCATAGGGATTTTGTGAGCGCCTTTCAATGGAAGGGAGCTGAGGTATGAATAGATATGCAATTTGGTGTTTGAGAATTTTCAAAAATCAGCTGGATGAACATGGACGACTTTTGAGGTGCCCCAAAATTCTCAAAAATCAGCTGGATGAATATGCAATCTTCACTGGCGAGCATAGGGAGTTGGAGTGATTGGTTGGAACAGTTGCACGTTTTGCAATCTACGCATGGATTCTGCAGTATGAAGGAAGCAAATTGTGGGAGGCGAGATTTGAAACAGCAGAGAATTGCAGCTCCTGCAAAAGGAAGTGTGAATCAAAAGTGACTTCACAAAAGAGAAATGAGTAATTATGTGAGTGAATTTACAGCTGAAACGTGAGGCCGAGTTGGGGGGGGGGGGGGGGGGGGGGGACAATGAAAATGCACTAGCAGCAGGACTCACCAACACAGCAGCACTTACCAACACAAAGTCGCTCACCAGTGATAGAGCAGGCGAAGGAGCGAAAAGGATACCCGGGATAGTTGCTGTTTGCATGGGAAAGCAAACACACAGGTAGGTGTTAACAAGTAAACATGCAGATACGGGTGTTTTAATAATGCAATGTAGCTAAAAGAGCATAAAGGATACACGGGATAGATGCTGTTGGAAAGCAAACACACAGGTAAGTGAAATGTTTCACTTGTACGCATGCTGCAGAGTGCCAGGGACGGGTGTCAAACCAGGCCCCGGTACCAGTGCGGGTGAAAGAATACAAGGGATTGTTGTTGTTACTTGTAGAAATGCAGAGATGAGGGTCACGCTCGGCAAGATGGGTTATGGGAAAAAGGAGTGCATGCGAGAGAGGGAGGAGAGGAGAGGGCGAGGAAGAGGGAGACGGAAGGGAAGAGGTAAAGGGAGAGGTTAAGCTTGGAGAAGGGAGGGGTAAAGCTAGAGGGAAATGGAGAAGGTAAGGTAGAGAGGTGCCATGCACTAAGTAGGTAATTAGGTTAAGAAACTTAAAGAATACTCCCAGTGCTGATGCCGGTCCTGAGCGTGAAAGGAAACAGGCTTCATAGAGGGAGAGCGAGAGGGGGGAAATTAGAGAGAGAGCAGGAGAGAGACGGAGAGAGATCACAAATGAAATGATGGTTGGTCAAAACTACTCACGAAGTACTCGCAGTGCTGACGCAGGTTCCTTGCGTGACAGGAAACAGGCTGTATGCTCCAATGCATCCCGGCTGGGAGTACTGGCGGATCTCAGTGCAACCCCCCACGCCCCAGGCACTAGGTACGTAGACAAGTTGAGAGACTCACGAAGTAGTCGCAGTGCTGACGCCGGTTCCTTGCGTGACAGGAAACAAGCTGTACGCTCCAACACACCCCGGCTGGTAGTACTGGCGTATCTCAGTGCAGTCGCCCGCGCCCCCAGGCGCCCGCTCCACGTCGCAGTATGACTGGATGTCTAGAGCAGTTGATGCTGTGAGGTTGGTGCAGCCGTTGTAGGTGAGGCGCATGGTGTAGGCGGCGGGTGTTATGCCGAAGCTCGGGAGTGTGTAGAAGGAGAAGCTGGTCGAGGAGACGGTGGGGGTGGCGCCTGGAAGGGGATGGGAGCACAGGGAGGAGAAACGTGAAGGGTCCAACGGAAGGCTAGCATGTGGAAGGAGAAGCTAGCAGAGGAGAGGGTGGGGGTGGCGACTGGAAGGGGATGGCAGCGTAGGGTGCTGGTGAAACGTCAAGGGCGTTATGCCGAAGCTTGGGAGCGTGTAATAGGAGAAGCTGGTCGAGGAGACGGTGGGGGTTGCGCCTGGAGGGAGGAGAGGAACACAGGGAGGTGGAACGTGAAGGTGGGGAGGGGCTGGCCAACGTGAAGCTGTGACCCGCCCTAGGGGCAATTTGCCCCTAGCACAGGGCAAATTGCCATCAGGGGGAATTTATGGAAGCTGGGATGCGTGGGAGGGGCTGGCCAATGTGAAGATGCAACCCGCCCTAGGGGAAAATTGCCCCTAGCACAGGGCAAATTGCCATCAGGGCAAACTTCCCTAGGGGAAATTTATGGAGGCTGGGGAGAGTTTAGAAGGAGAAACTGGCAGAGGAGACGGTGGGGGTGGCGCCTGGAAGGGAGGGGAACATATGCAGGCGAATCTTGAGTCAACTCAATAAGCACCGGCACCTTTTAGGCACGTTTGCAGGTGAGTTTGGTACACAGTCAAGAGCAACACGGCAGTGTCTAGTTTGTTGGGACGCCATGCCAATGCTTGGAGGAGTGTTGAAGGGAAAACAACGGGGGAATGTTTTGTTAAAGGTCAAGGGGGGGGGGGGACATGGACGGAAATGACAAAAAGGGGATCGAGCCGGACAGTGAAAGATGGAAGGAGGTGCCAGCGAGAGGAACCAGGTCCTTCAGATGCAACCAGTGGCCATACCAATGTAGTGGCCGTACCAGTGCCATACCATATGGCCATCATACCAGAGATGTGGTACCCCAGTAACACCTACAGTTTGGGCACGAATGGGGGCACACCCACCTAGGACGCAACCAGTGGTGGTCATGCCAAAGCCAGGAGGGCAGAGGCAGTAGGCAGCTTTGAGGCACCTCAAAGAAAGGAAACAGTGGTAACCGGTAACATGGTGGCACCTAACATGCGGACGCCAAGGGGGACATACCGAGGTCGCAACCAGTGGTGGTCATGCCAAATCCAGGAGGGCAGAGGCAGTAGGCGGCTTTGGTGTAAGGCACCACAACGCAGGTGGCTCCTGGGGGGCAGGTCCCACAAGAGGCAGGCCCTGCGGTGGTGGTGAGGGAGAGGGGAAAGGAGCATACAGTACAGAGTAAGACATGGTGCATGCATGCAATGCAATAAGAGGCTTTGCTGTACGGCAGCACAGTGCAGGTGGCTCCTGAGGGGCAGACAGACCCCTCACGAGGCAGGCCCTGTGGAGGTGGTGGGAGAGAGCGGAGCACACAGACTGAGACACACAGACAGCAGATGGTGCATGCACGCAGTACGGCACATCGCCAAAAGCACCAGGGCGTGTAGGGGCAGAATCAAGTGGCTAAGCCGAGCGGGCATGCGTGACAATCTGAAACGATCTGATAGGAGCAAGTGGTTCGGGTCAGGGCTGGGGTAAGCTGAACCAGTGGGAACCGAGCCAGTGGAACCGAGCCAGTGGAATCGAGCCAGTGGAATCGAGCCAGTGGAATCGAGCCAGTGGAATCGAGCCAGTGGAATCGAGCCAGTGGAATCGAGCCAGTGGGAACCAAGCCAGTGGAAGCGAGCCAGTGAGATCCGAGCCAGTGGAAGCGAGCCAGTGGGAACCAAGCCAGTGGGAAGCGAATCAGTGCAGTAGTCCCTGATACGTTCTGGTAGAAACAAAAATGGGAACGAAGAAATGAGATGTAGGGTTAGGGAAGTAGAGAGACGTACCCATGCATGTGCCTGATACGTTCTGGTAGCCCGCCTTGCAAACACAGGAGGCGGCGCCTGCAGTGTCCTTCACGCAATCGGTAACCACAGCGTTGCAGCCCTTGATGACACAGGTATCTGAAGATGGGATGGAGGAGGGATGGAGGGAGAGAAATGAAAACCTCCAACTTAAACCTGCATGTGGTGGCTGCTGCATCCTTCACGCAATCCGTAACCACAGCGCTGCAAGCAACCCTTGATGACACAGGTATCTGGAGGCGGTATGGAGGGAGAGGAATGAAAAGCTACGATTCAATTCAAGCGACCACTCGTGCAGGAACATCACTCACATGACTCAGGTGACTCACATCACTCACATACAGCAGCCATAGCATACAGCAGCCATAGCATACGGCAGCCATGGCGTACAGCAGCCATGGCATACAGCAGCCATGGCATACAGCAGCCATGGCATACAGCAGCCATGGCATACAGCAGCCATGGCATACAGCAGCCATGGCATACTGCAGCCATGGCATACAGCAGCCATGGCATACAGCAGCCATGGCATACAGCAGCCATGGCGTATAGCAGCCATGGCATACAGCAGCCATGGCATACAGCAGCCATAGCATACAGCAGCCATGGCATACAGCAGCAGCCATGGCATACAGCAGCCATGGCATACAGCAGCCATGGCATACAGCAGCCATGGCATACAGCAGCCATGGCGTACAGCAGCCATGGCGTACAGCAGCCATGGCATACAGCAGCCATGGCATACAGCAGCCATGGCATACAGCAGCCATGGCATACAGCAGCCATAGCATACAGCAGCCATGGCGTACAGCAGCCATGGCATACAGCAGACATGGCATACAGCAGCGATGGCATGGCATACAGCAGCCATGGCATACAGCAGCCATGGCATACAACAGCCATGGCATATAGCAGCCATAGCGTACAGCAGCCATGGCATACAGCAGCCATGGCATACAGCAGCCATGGCATACAGCAGCCATGGCATACAGCCGCAATAGCATACAGCAGCCATGGCATACAGCGGCCATCAGACTGTCACATAGCACAGCACGTACCAGTGCACGTCCTGCCATCCGCCTGCAGCACGAAGCCAGTGTCACACACACAGGAAGCCGCTCCAGTAGTGCTGCTCTTGATGCACGTGCCGTTTCCCCCACAGGCCTTGAGTGCGCATGTGTCTGGGAGGGGGAGAACGAGGAAGGAGAACACGTAGACAGTTGAAGTATTTTTCTGTTTTTCAGCAATCATGCACCTGCCACCAGCATGCACATACAAGCCTAAGCATTACGCGGCTCAAACAAGCCTAAGAACGAAGTAGCACATACCAGTGCAGTTCACATCCTGCCATCCGCTTCCATCTCAAAACCAGTGTCACACACACAGGAGCTGTTCTTGACGCACTGACATCAGCACATGACGTCAGCATATGACATCAGCCCAAACAACCAGGATGCAGCACGCACCAGTGCACGTCTTGCCATCCACTTCCAGTTCAAAGCCGGAGTCACACACACAAGACGCCACTCCAGTAGTGCTGTTCTTGATGCATGTGCCGTTCCCCCTACAGGCCTTGAGAGTGCATGTGTCTGGGAGGGGAGGGAGTGAGGAAACAAAAACATGTGAAAAGTAGGAGTCATTTCTGGTTTGTCGTTAATCATTCACATGCCATCAGCAAAGCATGCACATACAACTCAAGCCTAGGCACGTAGTAGCACACACAAGCAGAGGCACGTAGTAGCACAAACGTAAGCACACGGCACATACCAGTGCACGTCCTGCCATCCGCCTGCAGCGCAAAACCAGTGTCACACACACAGGACGCCACTCCAGTAATTGCGTCCTTGATGCACCGGCCGTTCACACCACAGGACTTGAGTGCGCATGTGTCTGCTATGGAAAAAAGCAAGTTAAGGGAAATATAAACAGTGCATTTCATTTCTTGCACGAGCAGAAGTGTGTCTTTGCCCATGGAGCACAACAACACATGCTATCAGCACAGCACGCACAAGTTTCAGAATAATGCAGCATATGCAAGCATATACAGCATATCGCACATGGCAGAGCACAAGGCATTGCATAGCACATGACATAGCACATAACGCAGCACATGGGCATTGCATAGCACATAACACAGCACATGGCATTGCATAGCACATAACACAGCACATGGCATTGCATAGCACATAACACAGCACATGGCATTGCATAGCACATAACACAGCACATGGCATTGCATAGCACATGACATAGCACATGCCGCATGGCATTGCACATGGCGTAACACAAGGCACAGCACAAGGCATAGTACAAGGCATGGCAACGTGGGACAATGCATGGCACGCACCGGTGCATGTGATGCCATCAGTCTGCAGCACAAAGCCAGTGTCACACACACAGGACGCCACTCCTGCACTGTCCTTGATACACTTGCCATTGCTGCCACAAGCCTTGAGTGCGCATGCGTCTGGGGAATGGGGGGCAGAGGGGAGGGGGGTGGGCGAGTGCGGGGATACTAAGAGCAGCGAATGAAAGAAATTACTGTCCACGTGACAGGCCTCAGTAGATTGAAGCTCAAAGCGCTCCTGCCACCTAACAGCGCTCCTGCCACCTAACAGGATCTCTGAAACCCGGTTGGTCAAAACAGGGCTCTGGGGCTCAATCATGGAACGCCTTGAATCTAAGGAGGCCTCATGTAATGTCCGCAAATGACACCCCTGATAAAGCCCCCCCTTTACCCCACCTCAAACTAAAGGCCTCTCTATCTCCAAACAGCACAGAAGCACTCAACCCCATGTAGCATCCACCACCACTCTAGCTTGCAGCACTCACCAGCACCAACACAGCCAGTGGGGGTCATGGAGAATCCAGGGTTGCAGGTGCATCTGGCGTTCCCCCTTTCCTTCACACAGACCGCATTGGCACCACACTTCCTATGCACGCACGAGTCTGGCGGGCATTAGTCAAAAGGAACAGAGAGGGGAGGAAGGTATGAAATGCATGAGGAAAGTTCCTCTTCACGCAGATCGCATTGGCGCCACACTTCCTCTGCACACACAAGTCTGTTCCGCGTGTTATTCACATGGACCATCGAGGGAGAGAGGAACCAGAGAGAGAGGAAGACGGGGCGAGGAGAGTAGAGGGGACGAGGAGGGGAAACGGGGACAAGGAGAGGAAACGGGGGACGAGGAGAGAAAAGCAGCAAGAGCGGAGAAGCTTCAAGTGTGGACTAAACACGGGGGAGTAGGGGATTGCGAATTGACAGGTTGAGTGGAAAGAGCGCGACAGGTATCAAGCATCGCTCCCATCAGGGTTTGAAGGCAGAAGATGTGCAATGGTGAGCTCAGCAGGCCCTAACTGTTACGTTTCAGGCCCTGGTGGTGACTACTACAGGCTGCTGACTTACGGTCGGCTGCCTTGCTCGCAGATGGCAGGCGAACAGCAGCAACTCCGGGCGCACAGGCTGAGAGCGGTTGGGTTGGGTGGGAGGGGAGTCGGGGAAGAGGGGGGGAGCGGGGGGGTGGGTTGCAGGGGGGAGAGAGGAATGTAGAGGAGGATGGAATGAGGAGGCAGGGAAAGGAAGGCTCGAGAAGGGGAGCTTTAGATGCACAGGATGCACGAAAAGGGACGAGATCGGACGGTGGAAGAAGAACTGGATGTTGGGTTGGGGTGAATAGCCACCTGAGCTCGCCGCATTCCCTCAACCGGATGTTGCGGCAAAGGGGTATCATACGAAGAATATAAGGATTGGTGGAGGAGGAAGTGAGCTCAAAGCCGCGAAAGAAATCACGTATGAGAATTCTCAAGAGAGATTCTAGGATTGTGGAGGAGGAGAAAGTGAGATGAAAGCCGCGGACGCGAAGAATTACGCCTAAGTCAGTCTCGCGAGGGTTTGTCGCTCCAGCCAACTAAACATGGCATATCTGAGACCCGAAAGAACCCCTGAGAGCATGAGAGCAGCAATGTGAGCAGAGCATTAGAGGAGCGCAGACCTGAGTGCACACCTGAGAGCATGAGAGCAGCCAGTGCAGCGAGCACGAGGCCAGAGCGTCGCGTCACAGCCACGCCGTGGGAACGCGCCATCCCTTTCCCTTTTCCCTCGTTTTGAGTCGACACGATGCCGCGGTCGATATTGGGATGAAGATGGGTCAGAGGAGTTTTCGCAGCCGCAGACAGCAGGCTTTGACGTTCACTGAGAGAGTGCAAATCCAGGCTCTGAAACGGCTTTTGAGGCTCCTCAAAAGTCTTCGCAGCAGCAGACAGCAGGCTTTGACGTTCACTGAGAGAGTGCAAATCCAGGCTCTGAAACGGCTTTTGAGGCTCCTCAAAAGTCTTCGCAGCAGCAGACAGCAGGCTTTGACGTTCACTGAGAGAGTGCAAATCCAGGCTCTGAAACGGCTTTTGAGGCTCCTCAAAAGTCTTCGCAGCAGCAGACAGCAGGCTTTGACGTTCACTGAGAGAGTGCAAATCCAAGCTCTGAAACGGCTTTTGAGGCTCCTCAAAAGTCTTCGCAGCAGCAGACAGCAGGCTTTGACGTTCACTGAGAGAGTGCAAATCCAGGCTCTGAAACGGCTTTTGAGGCTCCTCAAAAGTCTTCGCAGCAGCAGACAGCAGGCTTTGACGTTCACTGAGAGAGTGCAAATCCAGGCTCTGTATTCTAACTGAGGAGCGGCGTCATGCGGGCGCGTCCTTCGTATCAGCGGCGGCCGGATGCGCCAAGTAGTAGGGAGAAAAACAATATTTGGCAAGTAGTAGTACGGCATGGAATGTATGAAAGTTCTCTGGGAGCAAACAGCCGAAATTACGATGAAGCACAAACGGAACCGAAAGATTGTCGCGATTGGAGTTAAGAGACTGAAAGAAGAACTCTCAAGAGTCTTAGAGGAGAGACGCAATGCACGACAGACGTGGAGTACAGTACAATAATGCCGGCTTGATGAAGAAGGAAACGCAAGACAAATTTCGCATGACAAAGCGCCGCGTCAGCATCAAGGTGAGTGCGTCGTAACTTCTTTGTGCTGCTGTTTCCGCCATAACAGGACTAAGAAAGGAGAAGCCAAGATTAGAGAACTGAAATGACGAGTCCAATCGGATTCAACTTCAAGAAACATCCGCGATGCTAGTAGCAGTGGTTCGACCAATACCAGAGAAGTATCACGTGAAGGCGACTCGTATGACGTAGCTATGAATCTTGCAGTATGGTTGGGTTTGGGTCTGGTTTGGAGGATTTGGGGGGTGATGGATGGAGCATGCCTGTCTGCTCCTCCGTGCTTTTCTGGGAAAGTACCGAGCGTCGACATCCCCTCCAACGTCGGAGACAAGCAGCAACTGAGTTGCTGGCTATCATCTGCTGCTACATCGTTACTAGAAGACAACAGTGCTGGCCAAATTTACAGAATGTACTGTACTAGGCTCCCCACTATAGACAAACCAGGTCTGCTTGACTCGGTTGGGCCCAGAGACAGCGTGCAGTGGAAACTCGTGCCAAAGAAGCTGCTTGTCCAGTAACTGACAAGGAGCAGGTAGAAGCAGATTGAAATTGATGGGGAAGGGCGAAGGGGATGAGTGGTGGGGTGGGGTGTCCACTTGAATGCAGTTTGTTGAGATGCTTTGCATGTCGAAACGGTTATTTTAGACGATAGAGCGTTTGCTTAAGGTTTGAAAACCTTCAGATGTGACACCCCCGTCAGTGTGACTACACCCTCTTTCTCGCCATTGTGAATTCGGTTATAGTGAAGTCAAGATGGGAAAAGCACGGTTAACGGTGGTTAGATTAAGTCTAGATATGGTTCAATCAGACAAATCGAAGGTAACTAGGTTTTCCATCAGTTCAGCACAGTTCAGTGTAGTGAGAAACAGGGTGTACCTCTCACAGCTCAAGGAACGATGCGATTGGCGGTCGCCAGGCACAACACAAGTGTGGGAGGTGTGTGCGTGGCATTGCCCTTCCGAGGAAGAATCTATGACTTGGCGTGGCGACATGTAAGGAATTTTCTCGGCATTCCTAACGGAGCCCGACTACATCGCGTACACTTAACCCGCGCTAATTTCAAAAACTTCACACCGAGCCGCGATTTTGCCACTTGCGCAAGGGATATTTGTGTAGTGAGTCAGCACCTAGCTGTCTGTGCTGACGGGGCGGATTTGCCTCCCGCGTGTGTCGAGCGAGAAAGTTACGAAGCAGAAACTGTATGGTTATGAAGTGTTTCTCTGTGTTTGAGAGTGGTTCGGCAAGAATTTTGAGTATGGGATGAAGTGCCAGCATGTCATCCCACAGCGTCGTAATGTTCTGCTGACCATTCACCATGCCACGTGTGCTGTAACCCCATCAGGCGACGACAAAGCCTTTGAAATTGGGGGGATTGAAATTGGCGCGGGCTAGGTGCAGGGCTGATTTTATCAGGGTAATTACCCTGATTTCAGGGTGATTTTAGACTTGTCACATTCTGGTCCCTGTAATTTCAGGTTTAACGTCTTCTGAACACTGATCTTGTCAGAGTAGTACTTTAGCAAACCCTGGAATTTTGTATACACTTACAGAGTAGTGTTCTTAAGGACCCTGTCCATACAGAGTATGCGTCTTGTGTCAGAATGTTATAGCTTACTTATTTGTGTAGGCTATAGTGGGGTATCCCATAGGGGGTACAACCCAACTAGGGTTTCCTATTTGTACTCACTTCATTCATAGTCATTTCATTCTCGTTCTAACTTTCTCATGGTATCGAGCAGGTTCCCCCGTGGGAACTTTGCTTAGGGCCCACCACATCGAACCTTTTTTTTCTGCCCGGAGCGCGCTCCGGGCCCTTGCTCTTACTTTTTTTTCGATCTGCCCTAACGGCCCGAGCGCCGCCTTAGCGAGCCGCCCGCCCTAGCAGCCCGAGCGCCGCCTTAGCGCCCGCGCCCCGCTGCCCGCCCTCGCGCCGCCTTAGCGGCCTCGCGGCCCTGCTCTCGCGGCCCTCGCCGCCCTTCCTCACGCGGATCCGCCGCCCCTGATCTCGCGGCCCCGTCGCCCCTGATCTCGCGGCCCCGTCGCCCCTGATCTCGCGGCCCCGCTGACCATGAAAGCGCGGCCCTCGCCGCCCCTGATCTCGCGGCCCCGCCGCCCAAGCGCTCGCGGCCCCGCCGTCCCTGATCTCACGGCCGCGCCGCCTCAGCGCTCAAGGCCCCGCCGCCCCTGGTCTCGCGGCCCCGCCGCCCCAGCGCTTCCGGCCCCGCTGCCCCTGATACGCGGCCCCGTCGCCCCGGCGCTCCCGGCCCCGCCGCCCCTGATACGCGGCCCCGCCGCCCCAGCGCTCCCGGCCCCGCCGCCCCTCATCTCACGGCCCCGCCGTCCCTGATCTCGCGGCCCCGCCGCCCCAGCGCTCACGGCCCCGCCGCCCCTGATCTCGCGGCCCCGCCGCCCCAAGCGCTCCCGGCCCCGCCGCCCCTACTACGCGGCCCCGCCGCCCCTGGTCTCGCGGCCCCGCCGCCCCAGCACTCACGGCCCCGCCGCCCCTTGCTCTCCCGCCGCCCGACTGCAGCAGCCGAGCCGCCCAACTGCAGCAGCTGAGCCGCCCACCTGCAGCAGCCGAGCCGCCGTACCGCCGAGCAGCAATGCAGCTGAGCCGCCCTGCACCCGAGCCGTCCCGCAGCCGAGCCGCCCCGCCCGAGCCGCCCTACCGCCGAGCCGCCTGGGAGCCGAGCCGCCCGGGAGCTGAGTCGCTGAGTAGCCGAGCCGCCTTTCTACCGAGCCGCCCGACCTGCCCTGCCCGGTGAGCACTGTACCGCTCTCACTGCGTGCCCTTCCCCTACTGCTTGCACTGCTTCACTCTCGTCGTCATGGCTACCCCTAGTGTCCTCGCTTTTGACGCTGAGGGTCGAGCCATAGACTTTGAGGTCTGGCTCGACGACCTGCAGCTGTTTTTACAGTGCGATAGGGCGGACGGTCTGTCTCTCTTTGACCTCGCCTCTCGCGCCGTCCCTTCCCCTGCTGCTGATGCTGACGCCACTGTTCGCTCACAGTGGGCCACGCGCGATGCTGCTGCACGTCTTGCTGTGCGTCGCCACTTGCCTACCGCTGAGCGCGCGCACTTTAGCCAGTACAAGAGTGCCCAGACCTTGTACGACGCTGTAGTTGCTCGCTACTCCTCCCCTGCCACTGCTGCACTGAGCCACCTCATGCTCCCCTTCCTCTTCCCTGACCTTGCCGCCTTTCCCACTGTCGCTGATCTCATCACGCACCTCCGCACTAGTGACACTCGCTACCGCGCTGCGCTTCTTGCTGACTTCTGCGCCAAGAACCCCCCCCCCATGTACATCACTCTCTACTTCTTAGTCACTCGCCTCCCTGACTCCCTTCGTGTAGTCCGGGACCACTTCCTCGCAGTCTGTCCCTCCACCCTCACAGTCGACAGCCTAGAGAAGGTCCTCCTTGCAGCAGAGAAGAGCATAGTCGCTGTAGGAGCCTCTCGAGGTGACCCCCGCGCCCCCATCTTTGAGGGGTGTTCTCCTTCCCCTCTCCTGCCCTCTGTCGCCTCTGCCGCTGCGGCCGACCTCGTTGGTCTTGAGTCGGTCGGTGCGGCGTCTGCCCCTAGCGGGAGACGCCGCTCTGGCAAGGGCAAGGGGGGCAAGGGAGCGGGTGGGGCCAGTGGGGGCGGTGGCGGTGGAGGTGGAGGCGGCGGAGGGAGTGGGGGTGGCGGTGGAGGTGGTAGCGGGGGTGGGGGTGCTAGTGGCAGTAGTGGAGGCGGGAGTGGCGGCGGCGGTGGCGGTGGTAGCGGAGGTGGCGGAGGTGGCGGTAGTGGAGGTGGAGGCGGGGGCGGTGGAGGCGGAGGCGGGGGTGGCGGAGGTGGAGGTGGTCGGAGTGGAGCTTCGCAGCGGAGCGGCACTGGTGGCGGTCAGCGCCAGCAGCAGCAGCAACAGCAGCAGCAGCAGCGTTCTCGCGACGTCCCCACCCCTCAGCAGCTCCGTGAGTGGTACACGCAGCGTTAGCGCGGTGGGGGTTCTGGTCCCTGCACCTACGTTCTCCGCACTGGCGACCGCACTGGAGAGCAGTGTGGGGGTGCCCACTCCGCCCAGCGCTGCTTTGGCCGCATGACGGACGCTTGGCGTCAGCAGTTCCCGGAGGCCGCGGAGATCCCCCGCTGGGGAGAGCTGTCTAGGGCTGGTGTAGCTATCTTTGATCTTGATTTTGATGCTATCCTTGCTGCCATGTATGCTGTGACCATTAATGAGGAGGGTGACTGTTACCGGTGTTTCCCGCCTGACCCGGGCATTGGTACTGCTGCTCCAGGTGCCGGTGAGGCTTCTGCTCTAGGTGCCAGTGCGTTTGTGCTCTCAGGTGCTTGTGAGACTGCGCTCTCAGGTACTACGTCGGCTTCGGCCTCCCTCACCTTCACTCTTGACTCTGGAGCGTCTCGCTCTTTCTTTCGGGACCGCACCACACTTACGCCACTTAGTCGGCCGGTTGCGGTTTCCCTTGCTGACCCCTCTGGGGGTCCTGTCCTGTCTCGCTTCTCCACAGTCCTCCCGTGTCCGGCGGCCCCCTCTGGCACCCTGTCTGGTCTCTACCTCCCCTCGTTCTCTACGAACTTGGTGAGTGGTGCTGACCTGCAGGATGCGGGAGTCCACCAGTTCACCCCTGCTAGTCAGCGAGTGACGCACTGCACGGAGGCTAGCACGGGTCGTCACCTGGCTACGTTTACACGTCAGCCAGGGTCGAGCCTGTACACACTGACCACTGCTTCACCTCCAGGTGCTGAGTCTGGTAGAGTCCCTTCGTCTGGTCAGGTGTTTGCTGCAGCGTCCAGGTCTGGTCCTGAGTCTGCCCCCTGTTCGTGTCGCCGTCTGTCTCACGAGACCCTCCTCTGGCACCACCGCCTTGGCCACCCCTCTCTGCTTCGGCTCAGAGGCATGGCCTCCCGTCTTCTTGTGTCTGGTCTCCCCCGGTCCCTCCCTCCCCTTCCTCAGGGCCCTGGCCCTGCCTGTGTCCC